TTTTTTGTTCCTCTGGTCTACGCTTCTCGGTGGTATGATGGAAAACACCTTCATGTAAATGGTTGCGACATTTTTGGTCCTTAGATGGTTTAGTTTAGTGAGGATTAACCCCAGATTTCATACTGATGGAGGAATGGCGGAATGTGGTCGGATCTCGTGGATTTGTACCGGTAGTGGTTTGTGGAGTGTTTGAAGATATCAGAGAATATTCATTATCCATGTTTTAAGTCTACTGAATAAGACGAACTGCTCAACCGGCCGAGCGCAAACTGTGATGTTCTGGGGTTGGGCAAAGGAGTTCGCGAATTGCCACAGGAATCTGAGCCAACTACGGATTTACTACCTTCGTTACATGATCGAGTGAGCTGAGGTCAGCTGTCACCGTACTGTCCATCACTGCTTACGGTCTCGGGGTAGTTGGTCTGGACACACTAACACCTTTAGGGTTAACATCCCTGCATAAGGGAGTCTTACGGCCGTCGGGTATCACGGTTAGCGACGTAGAGGCATTTCTTTGTGTCGGGGATTTGTTACAAGCTACGCTAAACGTGTGGTAGCGCATGTTTTTAGGTAGTTATCGCCCACCCTACGCGCAGGCACATCAAATGACGAAGCGAATCTAATAACAGATGGACAAGACGTATTCTTTGAAGACTTTGAGTCTATGACGAGTGCACCTTATGTCATTGATAGAGCGAGCACTCAGAGGCCTGCTTTTCACCTTGTTCAGTTGAGTAGTGTCGGGAACACTGCAGATGATAAATTTCCCCTCGAGCATTATACTTCGGTGCATTCCGGTCGTAAAAAATCAGTGAGGCTTGAGGTTGAAGTCGGTGATGAGGGTGAGGTATTGAGAACATCGACGGGCTGATCAGATAATAGTTCCAAAACCTTGCCTGTGAATTAAAAATAAGAGTAAACACTCCGTCATTTTTTCGAAAGCTGTCGGTTTCGAGGGTTGGTTTTGTGTTCACAGCACTAGAAAGCAGGAGCAGACTACCCAGTTTCGTTTTCATGCCAACGATTGCCAGAAGTTGACCTCGGTATTTCCCTTATTTGCCTCGCTGACACCACAGATATCTTCAGTAACGTCACTGAACAAGGTAAACAGAATGCGGTTAGTCGGGACAATTGGTGGATTAATAGCTACCGTATTCGTCATCCATACACTGAGTCCGGTTGTGAAGTCAGCATGGCTCATGTCGTCCACCGTGAATCTGAACACGAGCTTGGCGTGATAACTTTTGCCAACGGGTGAGAGTTTCCGGATGGAACACGCATCATCTGTGTGAGAGAATATTTCTTCTAGTACGGATAGAACATGCTTATGGTCCTATCAGGTGGCCGGCCTGATATGCTGCATAAGAGTGAAAGGAATTTATGATTCCATTGACGTACGATCAAGAGAACTGTTTGACACCTCTCTTTATAAGCTGTTCTAGTCAGCTGGTGGAGCCTTGAAGTCTCCTACAACTAGGCATCTACATTTATCTGTCAAGAAATTCAGCTTAATCAGGTGGAATTCTTCGATGTCGTATTAAGGGCCACGATGTGTTCGTGTTACAGTCGGCAACGCAGCATTTCACTGGTCCCACTTTCATGTGCAACCTTCCCGTTGACCCCTACAGTCGGATTGTTCCACAGGGAAGGGATGATACCACTACTTCGGAGTGATAGTCTACCACTTCAAGAAGGAACGAATCCTTATAGACATGTTTTATCCCCATTGATCTCAAAAGGGAACCACGTTTATAAGATAACATGTAGACTAGGGCTTTATGCACTGATTAAAGTCTAATGCCTATTTTAACTTGAATCCATATCTTATAGACAAAAAGTCACTAAAAACAATACCAATCGTTGATTCTGGGCCACCTATCAGATTAAGGCTTCCCTAATTGCCCTCACGTTGTCCCAAACAGATAACTTCCCAGTTGTAGTAACATAACGGTCGTCCAGTTCTACGAAATTTTCCACTTTCGACTTCCCGTGCGATAGTTCTCGAATTGCTTGAAAATGCAATGGTAAATACAAGCAAGTAGGAAGCACATTTCATTTTCAGATTTCTATTTCTATTTGTGGGCTTTTTAACTGAAACTGAAGTGCGCGCTCCTTGAGTAGTGACGTGTTTCGCTCGTCTCTCAGCTTTTGGATTTTTCCACAATGAAAAACTCCCACTTGCAATACTCAATCTAAAAACATCGAACGTTTGCAGCACTTCTGTCCGTCCACGCACCTCACCCCTGCGCATTCGTCAGCTCACTCCTCAACAGTTGAAAATTGGCATTATTATTCCTTTGAACCAACCGGTCTACCTCCTGTCAGTGGTTCTTGGGCGTTTCAGCTGCCAAACTGCCTTAGCTCTCGGTTCTCCTCGGAGGTCATTCCCCAGGAAATATCTTTCCTGGTTATACATACGCATCTGGAGCTTACGGTTAAACTCGTTGGTCAAGAGCAGAGGATCAAGTGACAAGTGTCTGAAGGTGAGCCAACATAAATTATCTTCCCTTTTCTATTCTGTCCTTTTCCTGCATTCAGTCTTCAACCCTCTTATTGTTGTTAACTACTTGTTTTCCCAAGAAGTTTATATCATAGCGACATGTCTGCCCAAAACGCTAGGTCTGAAGCTTTGACACGGATAACGCGGTCGTGCACAACAACGGCCAGTAACACCCTAAACAACACACTAGTCTGTACTAGAAGACAAACAGAGGTAGGGCAGAACATCGAACTTCTGAAGAAGTGGCCAACCCATGTTTCTAGAATTCCAGTAGCCATCAGACAGGTGACACAGAGAAGCACTAGCCCGTCACAAACTAGTCCTATCTTGAGCAAGGATCATACCATGCCTGAAATAGAAGACGACGTAAAAGGCTTCAGAACAAGGCAGCCACAAGCAGTTCGCCACAATCCGTAGCACCTTATTCATGGAAGGAAGGCTGTATTACGACACCCGATGGCTGCAGTGTTTGCACCAAAGTTGTTTCGGTAGTCGATGAGGCATTTGCATGCAACCTGTGTCAACGATGGGCGCATTGCCACTGCGATACCAAAGTCCCCCGACAATACTATAAGCTGATGAAGAGACAACCATGCAAGTGGTTCTGGTACATCTGTCCAGAGTGCAGGAAAATGCCCGCACTCCGCACAGAAAGCCTGAAGGAGATGCTCTCCGCCACGCAAAAGCTACCAGCATCCTCGAATAAAGTAGGGTTAACACCAAAGGATAACACAGAGAGACCTGGAAACAGACCTAGAGCTCCAGCTGTGGGCACGCCATCTCGCGTGGGGACCATATTAGGTCAAGTCTCCATACCCCCACCCGGCCCCAGGGGACGTCAAGCGCATGGCCAAAGACATCGACCGCCGAAGCCTCTACGAAACCCATTCCGAACACCCCACACACCGTGACTGAGAAACAACCAGTGGAATTACTCAAACCCATTGGGAAGTCGGGCGTGCCACCCACAACGAACCCAGGTCACAGGAGGACCAACTCGATCATTTTGTTCAACGTCGATGTATCGACAGACTCATTGTTGGTCGAGAGGGAACAATTTGACAGCCGAATGTGGACCGACTACTGTCAGATGCTGGGACTCCCTCCCCTCCCTGCAACTTTATGTCGCCTTTCTCGAGGAAGCCATGCACCCCGAGATAAGCCACCCCCTTTACGTGTGTCCCTAAATACCGCCAAAGAGGCTGAAGACACACTCCTCCTCTCGCGACAACCGGACGTTGTTAATGCCTGTAAAATTCGGGCCAGGCCTGACAAGCCATGGTCAATAAGAGAGGAGGAGAGAAAGTCAGCGGTTGGAAATCCCAACAGAAACAACACTATAGTTGTACATGGGATTCCAGAATTGCCAAGTGACAGCTCGGTCAAAGATCGGTACTTTCACGACGTCCAACAATGGCAATGGCTCTCAACCAAAGTTGGTCTCAACAGTATACCGGCCAACAGCGTCAGTAGACTGCCAAGGCCAGCGCACCTGAAGACCATACCCAATCCCAGACTACTTGCCGTCCAGTTCGACTCATATGCCTCCCTCACAGACGTTCTGCACGCATGGTATAATGCGAAAGATCGCATGGGTGGCTCAATACGTATATGTGAAAGTAAGCCTAGACCCACAAGGCAAGAGGAGAGACGGCAACCACCAAGACCTCTGGAGTCAGTGGTCGTCACACAGGCGCTGACCAGTGAGTTAGATACATCAAGTAAAGAAGCCACCACTGCTACAGCCCCCACCCAAGTTAAGAACAAAACACAAAAAAACGGAACAATGCCAGTCCTATGAGGACTGGCGAGGCTAAATTCAACCACGTAAGCGCTCATCCCGCGAAAATACACATCCAGACCTCCCCTCTCATCAGGTACACTCTAATATGTATGTACAGCAACGTTAGGGGGCTAATAGGGAAGGTAGCAAAAATGAGGACGCTGCGTGAACATCAGCACTACGACATCATATTCATCACCGAATCCTGGCTCTCATCGGACATCTCCGACGAAGAGATGCGTGTTGCTGGCATGGAACTCTTCCGCAGGGACAGGGAACATAGAGCAGGAGGGGGAGTGGCTATCTACGTAAACTCCTGTTTAAAGGCAAGGATGGTTAGCGATACGGCCTTAACCCAGCTCCCAGAGTCTCTATGGTGCTACTTCACTCTCTTCTTTATTCTCTCTTCATTCCTTTACCACTACCTTACTATTCTCTTCCAGGTACCTACACAGACAGGAGTCATGGCAGTTCTCTAAACTTCCCAGCAACCCGTAGCTCCCTAATCACTCTACAAATTACAACCTACTAACCCACAAAACATCCACCTCACCGAAGCTAAAAGCAAGAAAGCAGAGGGATTTCCTCGTCCACTGCAGGAGTAAACCGAACAACTGGAACCAAGCCCTAAGAACTAGACGCGAGAGATCAAAAACTACCAGTTTTCTACGCTCGCACTATCAATATTGGATATTGGATATTGAACTGGTCTAGGTCGCTTGTACGTGTAGCGCATTCAAAATCTTACTCATTTACCTTAGATTTTCGCCTCACCTCTTCGTCGTCCAGCTCTACCGTTTGTCAGTTATCTTTTATTATTAAATGTAAGCACACCCTATGTGCTTGCTGAGTTGTCGGTTCACCTTTCTTCTACAGATTCTCGTGGCCACCACCAAACTCACACTGCCCTGCGCGCTCCCTACAGCAACGTACCTATCTACAGGCTAGACGAAAACTTAACAACAACTGGTCCTTACATATGCCTGTTGACTCGATCGCTATCTGACTGGCTATCGTTCACCTTGTTGGTGAACGACTGGTATACCTCAGTGTAGAACTTTAGTGAAGGTCTTCCAAACCCCCTTAAGCAGAAGTCCATTTCTAATTTGAAATGATACGAAGCAGCAGGACTTGACAGTGTGTCACTGGAAGCTTTGAAAGTAGGTAGTAGACTACTGAGTAGGGAAACGGAGGTAATAAATAGTGTGTGGGAATTGGAGGTATTCCTGTCAGATTGGTCTACTTCGCTGACAACTTAAGTCTGCACGAGAGAAGAGAAGTCTTCTTGTGACAGCCATGGAGGAATTAGTTTGACTAATCCTGTGTCGAAGATTCTATGATCTATAATCATTGGATGCCTGTCTGAAGCTTAAGAATGGCAAACTCGAAGAAACGAGATGGGTGTCAAACCTTGAGGAGTGTTCATCGACCGAATGTTCGGTAGATGTCCTACGGATATTGGTCTGCTCCCTGGAGGTGACATGACTGATCTAGATTACGTAGACGTCATTCTCTTGATATATTACAGAGTGCACCAAACACCTTTAGTGGAATGATGCGGATGCTTGTTTTGCGGTTAGCGCCTGTTTAATGTAATGCGGTGCTGCACGGCTGGTCTGCATCTGCCAGTTTACGAATTGGAAGTGATGTAGTAAAATGCATCGAGCGCTTGACTCACTTGGGAATTGCATCAACTAGGACGGGCTTATCGCTGACGAAATTTCAACCCGGATACATAAGATCTGTTTGACACCTGCCTACGTGCGTCATCTCGAGTGCCGGTTTAGCAGATATCTGACTAACTGTCAAATGCCGAGTGTACAGCGCTACAGTCTATTGCCTTCTGGTATACTGCTGTGAGACATTGCTTTTGGAAGTAGATATGAAGCGGTTACACAATCACAAGTGTAGTAACATCTTTGTTCGCGTATGGTGGAATCACCATGTTGGCAGTGTAGATGTCAAGTGAAAGGTAATAGGCAAGGAAGGCAAGTCAGTTGGTGAGGTGGACCTTCACCAACTGAATATTGGATATATACTGTATAGGCCGAGCCACCGCCTGTCTCGACATGCAATGCCAGCCGAAGTTAGATTAAGTTAGAAGAAGGTTTAGGTTGCCAGTCGAGGGCGTGATAGCAGTGCATGAAGTCTCCGACTGCTGGTCTGAGCGGTGCGCGGAGGTGTGGACTGTCTTCGACTTGAGTCTTTTCTAACCTTCATTTATGTCTCCTTCCCACTCACTTTTCTGCTTAAATGTCACTTTTCTTCCTGCAATGCTGACTGCTGTGAATAGTGACGGTGTCAACTGATGCACATGTGTGCGATGTGTTACGTTGGTTTCTTCTGTGTATTGTCTTTTTTGAGCTCTGCATAATTTCGGTATTTAAACTGGCTAAGCATAGGTATCTAACATGAAGTGTTTTATCTGCTTAATTAAGGTTATTTCGATCGTTAAATATCCAGTATCTCGGTTATTTGGATTAGACAGGTAGATTTCTTCACACTGATGTTTTGGCTTTTTACGATGCCTAGTTCGATCTTCAGTGAAATTTGATATCGAGGATGTAGTAGTTCGTTCACTATAGCCTTGTAGCTGGTAAACTGGTAAATCTACAAAATTTTAATAGTGTTTGGTCAGTTTGAGGAAGAAAAGCTCGGACCGAGGGTCACATCAGATCGTCATTCATACCGTTAAAGGTTGGTAATTTTTGGAAATCATGGGAGAAGCCGTAAAACAGGTAGTATGAGAAAAGTGTCTCATTTCATTTTAGCAGGCATGGGAGTAGAAGCATTATGAATAGGACTGTAAAATGTCATGGGGATTGAAGAAATGATTGACTTAGGGAAGACCAAATGTATGCAGTATCACTTTAACTTTATGAAACACTGGATAAAGAAGTGAAGGAAAGCGCGTGCAAAAACAAAAGACTTCTTCGACACACTTGCAACTGAAGCAGAACAGGCTGCAGGTAAGAGAGACCTGACAACATTATATCAAATGACCAGGTTACTATGTGGGAGGGAAGAGATCAACACAGATGAAACCAATGATAGTGACGGGAACTTGGTTAGCAAAGAGGAGAAACAAAAGAAACTCCACAATATTGATTTTGCTAACGCCATCTAAGTTTTAACCAAGCCTAAATGAGTAGTTAACTAGTTACTAGCCGGTCCTAAGCCCGAATTAAGATGGAACCCTACCCCGAAAAACCAATCCAATCACTAAACAATCTTCAAAGCACCAAGAAAATATAAGAAATAAAATTATTTCTCGCTGGACCGGAAAGACGAAATGACGCCGGTTGGTGAAAGTCTTCAGGAAGCCAATTGACCAATGTGTCTTCTCTCGATGAAAGTGAAAATAAGAATGGGGACATGGAGTGTCCGCACGATGTTTAAAGCTGGCTGGCAAGGCTGCCCAGATTGCAAAAGAAATGGGAAATATGGTATAGAAATGCTAGGAATCTCCAGATGGAATGTAAGTGGACTCTTCAAATTGTTAACTGGAGAGTCAATAATCTACTCCGATATTACCTTCCAGACGACAACCACGAGCACACTGAGGGAGTGGCTATCATGATGTCCCCAAGAACATCGAAGTCTCTCATGCAGTGGTGAGCCAATCTCCTCCAGGATCATGACAGCAAGATCCAACTCAAAAGAAAGGAAAGTTACAATCATACAATGAATGCTACGCTGCGCACCTACAAATAATGCAGACCAAGAGAAGAAGGAAGAATTCTATAGACAACTGCAATCAACACTGGACAAGACTCCAGTTGGCGGCATCAAAATTCTAGTGGGTGACATGAATGCCAAACTGCGTGGAGCAGACAACACAGGAAGAGAACTCATCATGGGTCGAGAGGCACTGGGTGAAATGAATGAGAATGGAGAACTGTTTGCAGGCTTCTGCGCCTTCGTGATTTGGTGATTAAAGGCAGTGTGTACACACAAGGATATTCACAAAGCAACATAGATTTGACCAGAACACGCTAAAAATCAGATCGACTTCATTTCAGTCTCAAGAAAGTGGAGACGCAGTCTACTGGACACAAAATCAAGAAGAGGAGCAAATATAGGTTCAGACCATTCACTATCTAGTGGAAGGCACCTTCCAAATCAAGTTGAAAGCCTTCAAAGAAGTTGGTGATAGACCACATTTCAAGTTCAACACCCAGAACAGAAACTGAAGGATGAAACTATTAAGGACATCTTCACGTCAGTCATCAGGACAAAATGGGAGACATTGAGCAACATCCCTGAAGGAAACTGTGTGGAAGAACACTGGAACCCTCTGTAAGCTATGTGGAAAGAAACCTGCATAATCGTATTAGAAGAGAAGAGAAAATAAGACAATGAATGGATCTCGACGGACACATGGGAGCTGATAGAGCAGGGAGAGGAAGATGGTGAAGCAGAAGATGAACCAGTGCAAGGATGCACAACTTAAAAAAGAACTGGGTACAACGTATAGAACACTGGACAAGGAAGTGAAGAGTGCACGCAGAGACGAAAGACACTTCTACGACACATTGGTAAGCGAAGCAGAACAGGCTGCAGGTAAGAGAGACCTGACAACATTATATCAAATGACCAGGTTACTATGTGGGAGGGAAGAGATCAACACAGATGAAACCAATGATAGTGACGGGAACTTGGTTAGCAAAGAGGAGAAACAAAAGAAACTCCACAATATTGATTTTGCTAACGCCATCTAAGTTTTAACCAAGCCTAAATGAGTAGTTAACTAGTTACTAGCCGGTCCTAAGCCCGAATTAAGATGGAACCCTACCCCGAAAAACCAATCCAATCACTAAACAATCTTCAAAGCACCAAGAAAATATAAGAAATAAAATTATTTCTCGCTGGACCGGAAAGACGAAATGACGCCGGTTGGTGAAAGTCTTCAGGAAGCCAATTGACCAATGTGTCTTCTCTCGATGAAAGTGAAAATAAGAATGGGGACATGGAGTGTCCGCACGATGTTTAAAGCTGGCTGGCAAGGCTGCCCAGATTGCAAAAGAAATGGGAAATATGGTATAGAAATGCTAGGAATCTCCAGATGGAATGTAAGTGGACTCTTCAAATTGTTAACTGGAGAGTCAATAATCTACTCCGATATTACCTTCCAGACGACAACCACGAGCACACTGAGGGAGTGGCTATCATGATGTCCCCAAGAACATCGAAGTCTCTCATGCAGTGGTGAGCCAATCTCCTCCAGGATCATGACAGCAAGATCCAACTCAAAAGAAAGGAAAGTTACAATCATACAATGAATGCTACGCTGCGCACCTACAAATAATGCAGACCAAGAGAAGAAGGAAGAATTCTATAGACAACTGCAATCAACACTGGACAAGACTCCAGTTGGCGGCATCAAAATTCTAGTGGGTGACATGAATGCCAAACTGCGTGGAGCAGACAACACAGGAAGAGAACTCATCATGGGTCGAGAGGCACTGGGTGAAATGAATGAGAATGGAGAACTGTTTGCAGGCTTCTGCGCCTTCGTGATTTGGTGATTAAAGGCAGTGTGTACACACAAGGATATTCACAAAGCAACATAGATTTGACCAGAACACGCTAAAAATCAGATCGACTTCATTTCAGTCTCAAGAAAGTGGAGACGCAGTCTACTGGACACAAAATCAAGAAGAGGAGCAAATATAGGTTCAGACCATTCACTATCTAGTGGAAGGCACCTTCCAAATCAAGTTGAAAGCCTTCAAAGAAGTTGGTGATAGACCACATTTCAAGTTCAACACCCAGAACAGAAACTGAAGGATGAAACTATTAAGGACATCTTCACGTCAGTCAT